GAGAAGGACACCAACAAAATCAGAAATAATTTAGTTTATTTTTCAATGAAGCTCTCGACTGGCATCAATGCTGGCGCTCCCCATAAAATGTTATATCCTAAAAGATTATCAGCAACTAAAGTTACTGTTTTATTACATGCTGGATTTTGGCCAAGAGAACAGGGAAGTCCTTGTAGCATTCTCTCAGCTGTATCTTAAAAAATACTATATGTTTTAGAATGTTAAGGTTATGAAGGCATAGATATCATGTCGTGCTTAGAAATGTACAAATGTTCCAAGCTCAAATCAGCTGTTTGACAGCTAAAAATTAAACTCTTTATTGTCCTGAATCATGACATAAGCCTAAGATTGAAAATCAGGCTTGTCAGATGCTACATCTTTTCTATCCTGCTCTACGAAGTGGAGAGTTGGTCTCTGACAGAAAGCCAGAAGACAGAAGAGACCAGAAGCATTTGAAATGTGGATTTACAGGCTGTTACATATAAGCTAGGTTGACAAAATCAGAAATGAGGAAGTGATAAGCCTCCTGGAAAAGCCAAGAGAAATCATCGAAACCATAAAAAAGCTAAAGTTAGAATATTTTGAACATAGAATAGAACAGAACAGAACAGAACAGACACACAGACAGAACAGAACAGAACAGAACAGAACAGAACAGAACAGAACAGAATAGAATAGAATAGAATAGAATAGAATAGAATAGAATAGAATAGAATTCTTTATTGGCCAAGTGTGATTGTACACACAAGGAATTTGTCTTGGTGCAAATGCTCTCAGTGTACATAAAAGAAAAATACATTCGTCAAGAGTCAAGCATCATAAGGTACATCACTTAATGATAGTCGTAGGGTACAATAAGCAATCAAATCATACTAGGAAATAGAATAGAATAGAATTCTTTATTAGCCAAGTGTGGTTGGACACACAAGGAATTCCTCTTGGTGCTCTCAGTGCTTTCAGTGTACATAAAAGAAAAATATATTCATCAAGAGTCAAGAATCATCAGGTATAACACTTAATAATAGTCATTGGGTACAATAAGCAATCAAATCATACCAGGAAACAGTCAAAATAAATCATTAGGGTACAAGCAACAAAGTTACAGTCATACAGTCTTAAGTGGGAGGGGATGGGGGGATAAGGAGTGATGAGAAGGTTAATAGTAATAGTAGTACAGACTTAGTAAATAGTTGGCCAGTGTTGAGGGAATTATTTGTTTAGCAGAGGGATGACATTTGGGAAAAAACTGTCCTTGTGTCTAGTTGTCCTGGTGTGCAGGGCTCTATAGCGTCATTTTGAGGGTAGGAGTTGAATCAGTTTATGTCCGGGATGTGAGGGGTCTGTGGATATTTTCACAGCCCACTTTTTGACTCATGCAGTATACAGGTCCTCCATGGAAGGCAGGTTGGTAGCCATTGTTTTTTGATGTGGTGCGACACCTGGAAAAATACAGCATCCTTCACTTCAACCTCCAGGGAAAGATTGAAGGCAAATAAATGTCCAGGCAGAAGAAGAACATCATGGCTTCAAAATCTAAGGGACTGGGTTGGACAAAACTCAACAGCACTTTTTTGTGTGGCTGTTGATAGGATTGCCAACACTAACGCCTACATCCGATGACAGATATATGGCACAAGAAGAAGAATTGTCCTGGAGATTTATCTTGAGTGTTGGATGAAATTGCCATATTTCTTTCTATGTTATTCTGAGTGTCTTGATCAATTTCAATTGGTTGTTTACAACATAGAATAATAAGGTTGCATGAGACCTTGGGGGTCTTCTTGTCCAACCCCTTATTTGAAAAGAGGAGCCTATATGCTGTTCTGGGTAAATCGTTGTTCAATCTCTTCTTAAAAGCCCCCAGTGGTTTCCGGTTTTGTGTGGCTTCGGCGGCAGCAGGAATTCGCAACTGTCCACGATTCCTGCTGCGTTTGCCGCCAAGGTGCCCCCGATCCAAATGGGTCAGGGGGATATGGCTGCCCTGTAGAGGCAGCCGAAGAGAGAGGGGATCTGGACAGGGGTTTGGGGGTGTCGCAGACCCCCTCCTCAGCCGGAAAAACCCCTTTTTCCCAAGGTGGTGGAGCGGCGGTCAGTAATGGCCACCACAAAGAAGCTTGCAGCTGGGTAAGATTTGTGCTGGAGGAAGCAGGAGAAGTGAAAGTGCTGGCTGAGCTGGGATAATTACAACTCTTAAACATCCTGGAAACTGAATTGCTTGAATTGCCTGAAAGATACATTGTATCCCTAAGAAGATTGGAAAGCGGCGGAGAAAGCTGTCAGGGGAAAGTTTTTTTTTCTTCACTCTCCCACCCCATAGAAATAGCAGACGGAGATCTGGAAAATTTATATGGGCACCGAAGGTAACTCAATTTGCAAGTTAAAGCCAAGGGATAAAGGATTCCTGGACATTGGATTTAACAACTTAAGAAATCAGAAAACCTGCATTGGAGGTATGGATTTCTGAACATTTAAAGGAAAATTGTTGTTGTAAGTGGGAAGGGAGAGGAAAAAAAATTGGAGCAGAATTTGAAAAAGGAGGAGATTGCCTAGAACTTTAAAGAAAGACATATCTTAATTGGAACTCTTTGATTAAATAGTAACCCCAGAAAGAGAAATAGAAGAAAGAAAAAAAGTATTAAAAGAAATAGTTTATTTGGATTCTTTGGTGACTTTGGAACTTTTTGGAATTATTCTTGATTAAAAATACTTGGGTGGTTGTTTTGGAAAAAAAAATTCTCTTCACAATGGCATTGCTTGTGGATGAACTAAAAATTGAATATAAAAAATATAAAAAAGAAGAACAAGATGGAAAAGATACTTTGGGCACTCTTTTTCAATTTCTAGAAATGGCGGTATGCACTTATGAAAAATTGACTACGCAGCAGGACGACTGGGACAAAGAAGAAGAAGCCATCTTTGATGAACAATTGGTTCTTTTTGGGGAGGAGGAGAAAGGGGAAAAGAAAAGGGGGATTTTAAGGCTTGAAAAAACAACCAAAAAAGAGAAAAATGAGATGAAAGGTGGATACAAGGTTAGAAAACAACAGAAAGGGGGAAAGCAGAAGAAGAAAAGGGAGGAGGAGAGACAAAGGGGTAAAAAGGGCAAGGAGAAGAATAAGCAAGAGAGAAAGGAGGGGATGAGAAGCCTTAATGGTGGGAAGCAAGATTTAAAGAAACAGAACTTATTTAGAGACAATGGGTAAATTTAATTGAAAAAGGGATTCTGGAAGGTACATAAGATTGTGTTTTTATATGTGTATTTAGAATAAAATGTTTAAGATATAAATGAGTATCAATATATATGATTAGCTTTTTAATGGTATTGATAGTGGTCTTATATGCTTTTATTTTGTTATTGTTGTGTTTTTGCCCTTCTCATAAAATTTATTGTGTAATTTCAGAATGTACTAAACAGAATCCCAATATAAATTAAGTGTTATATTAAGTATTATTAAGCTAGGGGAAAGAGTCAAAGGCATCGCTCCAATCAGTGTACAGGAGAAATATATTTAAAGAGAAAAGATGAATGGATAGTTGGAAATAGAACAGACAAAGAATGATAAGTATTATGAATTGAATTGAGATGAGATAAATAAAATAAAACTAAGAAAGATAAAAGAGGGAAGAAGCTATATAGAAAATTGAAAATGGTAATCAGATATGGAATGATATATAAAGTGAATATGATTTTTGAATTTGTGTCTGTGCAAAGAGTTTTAACCCGGGATCAAGCAGCTTTCAGAAAAGATGTCTTATGTTTTTTATGTTTTATGTTTTGTTTGTTTGTGTATTGTTTTTGAAGGGCAATAAAATTTTAATTAGCAAGAAATATAATTTGGATAATAGAATGAAAAGGAGAAGTTGGGATAAGATACGAAGTTGAACAGATAACGTAAATATATATATTACAATTTGGAACTATTTTGTATATTCTATTGGTTTTCTTAGAAAAAATCTTTTAGGTTATTATGCCTTGATTGTTTGTGTATTGTTTTGTAAAACTAATAAAATTTGTCTTTAAAAAAAAAAAAAAGCCCCCAGTGATGGATCACCCACAACTTTTGGAGGTAAACCATTCCACTGATTAATTGTTCTCACTGTCTGGAAGTTTCTCCTTAATTCCAGGTTGCTTCTCTCCTGGATTAGTTTCCATCCTTATTGCTTCTTGTCCAGCCTTCTGGGGCTTTGGAGAATAGCTTGACTCCCTCTTCTTTTGGGCAGCCGCTGAGAAATTGGAAGACTGCTATCCTATAGTGTCTAGTCCTTCCTTTCATTAAACCAGACATAATTCCTAATTCTACACTTCCTGGCTGCAAATAGACAGACAAAGGAACATCTGAACATCTCACACATTTGTTTACTTTTCATCCACACACACACCCAAAAACAATCCCTCCATTTGAAGAATGAAACAGCCAGAAAATCAGCAGATGTCTGTCCCACCGTTAATGTCACAGAAGCTGAGTAGCAGATATGAGGAGAAACCATCAAAGTTTAGATTAACAGAGTTGTCAGTCATCTAGTCCAATCTGCTACCCAAATAGGAGACCTTACATCATTTCTGACAAATGGCAGTCCAATCTATTTTTCAAAGTTTTAAGTTATGATGGCTCCTACAACTTCCAAAGGCAAGCTGTTCCATTGGTTGATTGTTCTATCAGAAAATGTCTCCTTATTTCCAGGTTGAATCTCTCTTTGATCACTTTCCATCCATTGTTCCTTGTCTGGCCTTCGGGTGCTTTGGAAAATAGCTTGACCCCCTTCCTCCTCTCTGT